TCAAACTTACAAATCGATTTGCGTTCTCGATTTGTTTCACACTAAAGAGCATTCACCGTCAAGTACCATCTGATTACTATGATTGCTAGGAATATTGGATGAGATCTCCCCAGTTATAATGAAGAAAGCTTATCGAGCACAAACATCTCAGGCTGTCCTCCCCTCCCTCCGAGACACTTTCTGTAACTGTCACCAGCGCACTCAATTTTCGAAAGATGTTCGGTGAGAAACCAAGCATTCCGAAACCGCCGAAACAGTTAGTCTGAGAGATCTATTTCAGTGATATGCGGGGGAATATTTTGAAAGTATTTTGATACTTAAATCAACTGCGCTCTTTCTCCAGCTACGCAACCCAGAGTTTTCCAACTGTTTTAGTCGATGCTTTATCACATGATGGACAACCCGCTCACGATCTTGATGGTCGTTTCAAGTCATGAGGGAATCAGCAACCACGACAATATTCCGACCATTCAAATTCAGGATGAAAAGAAGGCACTACTACCTTACAGTTATCACAGTACTTTTTTCTAATCATTCTAGGGTGTTTTTATGCGTTTTTTGCAGCAGTGCAATGCGAAAAACGCATATTGATGAGAGGTTGTCTATGTGTGTGTGTGTGTGTGCCTGTGTGTGTTTGTGTGTGTGTCTGTGTGTGCGCTGCACATCTGCACCAATTTTTCATCTCGAGACCGGCAAAAGCTACGGGGCTGAAACTTTGGGGACTTAATCTGCAAGTACATACGGGCCCCTATCCCCAAAATGGGCGGCTTTTCCCGCGTGGTACCCCCGTAAGACCCCGCCAAAAGTTTTTTAGGGATAAGCTGATAACTCGCGAACCAGAAAAGCTAAACAGCTGAAATTTTATGTAAATGTTCCCCGTCCAAGCAGATGCTAATGAGCTCAAATCCAACCCCTCGGTAAGCGTGGTACCCGCGTACGAGCCCCTCAATATTTTTCCCGTGTAAATTCATAACTCCGGATTCTGCAATGCTAGAAAGCTGAAATCTTAGGGTGGTGTTCCCTGTCTAAGTGGGTATTAATGAGTTCAAACCCTGCCTGCGGATAACCGTGGTACTTGCGTACAGGCCCGTGAAAAGTTCCTTCCGGGTAAGTTACACTGACTCGAAAACGTGAGAAGCTAGAAGACTGGAATTTTGAGGGGATGTTTCCTGACAGTTCTGGCGGCCAATCTGAAATTCTTTCAGCTAGAAGCATCTGCCGAAAAAACCGATGCCCTGACAGTTTTGGCGGCCAGTCTGAAATTCTTTCTACTAGAAGCATCTGCCGAAAAAACCGATGCCGGCCAAAAAACTGCGGGGAACTCTGCAAAAAACGCATCTTCGCACGGGCAGCCCGTGCGTTGGCCATTTAACAAAAACTGCGGGGAACTCTGCAAAAAACGCATCTTCGCACGGGCAGCCCGTGCGCTGGCCAATTGAAACTGCGGGGAACTCTGCAAAAAACGCATCTTCGCACGGGCAGCCCGTGCGTTGGCCAATTATTTTTTTTGAAAAAAAAAAGAAATATTGTGTCTCTGCATTGTAAGCAGTGACGATTTCGTATTCTTTTAGTAATGGCCGTTCCGTAATCTCTTGATTGTACCCAAATCCCAGGAAATAACAGGCCTGATCAACGGTCAATAGTCACTTCAAACATTTAGAAAGCTGCACAAAAAAAAGTCTTTTAAGGATCAATATTTGTCGTAGCATCTACAATAGCAGTTTCACTAGTATCGCTCGGCTGCTGTCACTGTTGTAAAAAAAAAATTAATATTTGAAAATTAATCGCTGTTGCTTATCAAACAATACGAAAACGATCTCATCAGCGGTACTGGCGGTGGTACTTGGTTCTGATTCCACGACTTTTGCTTGGTGGTGTTGCCTCGGTGAATCTCGACGACATCGCTTCCTAGCTAGTCCAATATCATCACAACCACCACCAGTTTTATCACTAATACTAATGCAGAGGGCAATCACTGAGGTTGTTGGAGTTCCTGCGGTCAGCTCGCCACCAGCATCATTGTAACTTTCGTCGAGTCCTATAACTCAGTGAAATCAGTAATATGATAGCAATAATGATAATGATAATATTCGTAAATAAATGGTGATAATCGATGAACATAGTTGGTGCAACTGAACCTCGGCATTTTGTTGCAGCATCGCTAACATAAGATAATCACACATGATTACAGTCATGTCAATCTCCAGAGATTATTTTTATTATCGTTATCATCACTATCATTTTCTTCACCACCATGAGTAGCAATGCTAATAAAATATAGTTTTAGTCATAATAAATAGCGAATTATTGCAGATGTAACTAGGCTTTCTTAAATTATATGCAGCAAATGAGACGCATTCTTCAAAAGTGAATGGGACTGATTGATCGGGTTGCGTGGAAAGTGCTACACCTAATCCAGACCTAATTAGTATAAATACGAAAGAAGCTAATTATTCAGGACTATGGTGTGAGTGTGTGTTGTATAATTAACTTACACGGTTGAAGCAGAGCTATACAGTGATTGGGACGGCTCACTGGGATAAAATGAATCCATAACCATCGACATCCGTTGCTTCTTCAGTTCTGTATCGCCCTTCCTCATTCCTTTCACGTAATTTTATCCCGCGCCTTTTACCACCTAAAAAAAAGGATTTAAAACATATATAGCTGAATAGCACTGTGAATTACAGCACTGACATATATATACAGATTCTAAG